AAAGGGTTGTCAGGCTCTGGAATGGGCTGCCCAGGGAGGTGGTCGAGTCCCCATCCCTGGAGGTATTTAAAAGAAGGGTAGATCATAGAATCATAGAATCACTTTGGTGGAAAAGACCTTTAAGAAGATCATCAAGTCCAACCTTTAACCTAACTCTGCCATCCCACCACTAAACCATGTCCCTAAGCACCTCATCTATCCGTCTTTTAAAGGTGCTTAGTGACATGGTTTAGTGGTGGGATGGCAGTGCTAGGTTAACGGTTGATGACCTTAAAGGTCTTTTCCAACCTACATGATTCTATGATTCTACCCACAGAAGGGAAAAAAAAAGCTGCTTTTGCTTTAATTATTTTTCCAACCTAGATGATTCTATGATTCTACCCACAGAAGGAAAAAAAAAAAGCTGCTTTTGCTTTAATTACTTATCTACCTTCTTTCTTTTCTGCAATGGGATTGTATGAATGTCACATTGTACTGTAAGGTAACCCGTACAAAGGGGTGACTGCTGACCATAAACCATCCTGAATTATTGTGTTTGTACACATGGTCTGTTGATAAGTGGTATCGCAAAGTCCTGCATGAGGTGCACACCTTGAACAGACTGCAACATCTGGGGTGAAAGGCAGCAGCTGTTTAAACAGCACAAAGTATCGCTACAAATCAGTTGAGCACAAGTCATGAAGTATGCTGTATGTGACTGGTTTTCATAAAACGTGTCTGTAAAAATAAAATGTGATTGCATCACAGTAGCAGCAACTGCATAGTTAAAACTGCAGCTTTACATTCAGTCACGGAAATAGTCTATGCCAGTGTACCTAAATATACATGCTTTTGCATATAGACATATAAAGATCTGGGCTTGGGCAAAGAGAGGGAATATAAGGAGCAATCATTCAATTAAAGATTTGAAAGCAACACAGGCGGTTAACCTCTTTGCTCATGTGAAGAGTGCCACCATATCATTAATGACCACAAATGATCAGGAGCTCAGTTTAATGCTTCATCTGAAAGACAGCACCCCCAGGAAAAGCACTTGTTAGTTTAAGATGAGAGCTGATTTTTTAATCCTCCAAAATGTGTAACTTTCCTAATAAATGATATAAAACATTCTGAATCACAATTGGCACTATAATTTCAAAAGAAAATGTCCACTTGGGAAACCTAAATTTGAGACCTCATGGTGTCATGCAGACTGAAATCTTTAAAAATAGTAATAATGATGGAAAGAAAATTATGCACCATAAGGTTTTAAACAAAAAGCAGCATTTCTTAAACTTTAACACATTTTTTGAATAAGTAAAATAGGATTAAAGGCCAGACTCACGTTACTACTGCAGGTTTTATATCGAATATTCCGACCTTCACAGTTCCTGAAAAACAGAGTAAAAATGGTTATGCTGCATAACAGCAAAACACAACCCTGCCTGTTTTGCAGCTAGTTATACTCTTGAAAATCATACTTTTATTGTTACTGCTCTACCATAATTTTGACTCAAAATACAAGCTTTAAGTACAAAGGGGATCTGGGGACTCTGGAACAGGTTACACTGCTGTCTCTCTTCAGCAAAGAACCTGTGGCTTTCCCTGTAATCCCAATTTACTGCAAACCTTATGAAAACCACATTTATTTTGTGAAACAGATTTCACAAGGCATCCCTGAGCCTCATCTATGCTGACTTCAGCAAAGCTACTTCTAATCCACGGGATGCAACCCAGAAGAAAAGAGGATCAGAATATCTAAGCGATCCTTTAATCAAGCATAGGACTAATGAGCATTAATTTTCCTTTCTCCTATGCCCAGCCTCAAACCTTTCATTTCTCCCAAAAACCAATGCAATACTTTTGAAGAACAGCATGTAATTTTACTGACCCAAAGCCACATGAGCAGAATTCACAATTAATTCTCATGGACTTCATGCATTTCTAAGGTGCCCAATGAATGTGAATCCTGAAATCCAGGCAATTCAGACCCTCAGCAAAGTTTGTTGTTACTAGCTGAAATAACAGGCATATAATCAAGTAACGATTATTTATTGTGGTCTCATAAATACGGGGATGTATGGGTTTCACACTTTTTTTAGGGACACAATTTGACAAATTTCTCAATAACTGACTGGCACAGGGTAAGATATTCTTCTTAAAAATGGCAAAATCAAGCCTTTGAAAGAACTGAAAAAGTATTTCAAATTACTTGACAGGAAATTATAATTAGTGATGTCTCTAAAATCAGGAATACTCTTTTGGAATAATCGCTTCATACCAAAAATACCTGCCTTACATTAAAGAATGCATGAACATATAGCTGGTAATTTACAGCTTGGACTATATTTTCCACTTTTTGCATAAAAATTGATTGCAATTATTTAAAAATTCTTTAATATGTGTGAGGGATTGAAAACTATCATTTGAAAAGGAAAAAGCAATGGATGCCTGGAGCAAGAGTTCAACCAGCTCAGCTGAAGGTACAACTCTCCATGTTCAAGATATTATGTCTCAAATTTCCAGTCTTTTGCAAGAATGACTGCATCACAATGTGCAAGTTAAAAATGTTTATGATACACATAAATGTGAAAACTTTGTTTCACAATTGCGCATTTCCTGGACATTACAACAACAATAAAACACAGAAAAAAACCTTTTAAACTACACATTTGTCAAGGTATGGAAAACACATGTTTTTCACAGGGGAACATATTAAAAATATTAATAAAACCACAGTGGAATTTATATTGCTACAATTTATTGAGCTCATTTCACAGTCCCTAACACACTGGTAGAATATCATGGCTTCTTGCTGGAAATATTACTTTTCTCAAAGACCTTTGTGCATTTTGCACTAAAAGAGACAGGCAGTGTTTTAATCAATCATCTTTAGCTATGTATTTCATACCCTTTGCACTTAATAGCATATCACACTACAAGACTTCTTTGAGAAACATTGAATTCTTGGGCAATAATGTATTTAACTTAAAATCTCAACAAAACAGACATTTAAACATAATCAGCAGTTTTTAAAATGTTTAAGAATAATTCAAGTAAAGCAAGCAATTATGGACGCCAGCACAGATGCTTCTAAGCTGGTTGGGATCTCTTCTCGCCTCACTACAAGCCTATTGCATTACTCATACTTTTAGGATTGTAGCAACAAGTCCTACATTAGTCCAGCTTTACTACTGAGGTAAATTGTTTTCACCACGTACACTGTTCTCTTCAAGCTACACTGAGGCTTATCCACAAAAACATATGGCCACCAGGACCACTGCATAGAAAGAACTGGCAGAGGAAAAGTTTCCTAACAGAAAGCAGCATTTGATACATCTATGTGTGGACTAAGTCACTTGTTTTTTACTACAGGGAAGACATGGAAGAGCCTGCACTTGAACATTATTTCAAGTAATGTTCAAGTACAGGGTAATTTGTATGCAGGTAACTCACTGTTTGCTTTATATTACAGTGACAGGGACTCTTCTCAATGTTGGACTGTACTCAATAAATCATTCCTCTTATTCCACAAAAGCTCAGATATTTATCTAATATATTACGAAAATATATTAAAAGCACAATTTCCTAATGCTGGATTTGTACACAGCACTTGGTTCCAGAAGCAGAAGCAGCAATGCTTCTTTACAGACACCACCAGAGGACAGGGAAATATGGCAGAGCTGCAGAAGAATAAATGCACATAAGCATGCGGCTTACCTGCCATTTAAACATCTCCTCAGCGAGTAAGAGGCTCCCCCCCCACAGGTCCGTGAGCAATCACTCCAGGCCCCCCAGGCATCCCAGGAGCCTTCCTTATCTTCATCAGAGCGGGTAATTCTGGAAGTCTGAAAAGAATGGAGAAGAGAGAAAAAA